AACACTGCAGATATGTATTGTGCTGTTACAGCTGTATGAAGACATGACACAATCCACAGCCGCGGGTGACATTTATATAAATGTGAATTGAGAATTTGTATAGTTAATTTTCCATTGTTAATTGCCATTGTTCTTTGGCATCAGTATAGCTGATTCATGTGCTGCCATCTTGTGGTGGTTTTGGATATTGCACCATGTTTTCTGTATTCCCTCCCCTTGTGTGTGATGTTATATAGTTACATAGTATTTGAGGTTGAATAAAGACACAGGTCAATCAAGTTCAACCTATTGCGTGTATGTATGTGATTCTGCATGTGTATGCGTGTGTATGAGTCCCTGTGTGATCTTGTTTTTAAGTGTACCTGTACCCCTGTACGTCGCGGTCTCTGAGGAAATTGTCCAAATGCTTTTTGAATGATTCCACACTCTCAGATGATACCACTGCTTGCGGCAGTGAGTTCCATACCCTAACCGCTCTAACTAAAAAGAAGCCCCTACGCCCCTTGTGCTGAAATCTTTTCTCCCCCAGTTTTAGGTGTTGGCCTGTAGTCCTTGTTATGGAGTTTACTGTAAAAAGTGTATTGCTGATGTTGCTATCACCATTGAACATCTTGTACATGAAAATCATATCCCCCCTTAATCTCCTCACTTCCAGCGTGAACATGTTTAAATCTAGCAACCTTGTCTCATAGCTCTAGTCCTCCATCCCCTTCATTAGCTTAGTTGCCCTTCTCTGGACTCTCTCCAGCTCAAGGATGTACTTCCGTCTTGTAAGGATTTTGTCTTTCTGGCATCAAAATGGCTGACTGTGACATGGCCACATGCTAATCTGCTCGCAATGGAGGGCAAAAATTACCATCTTTGACCTGCAAATACCGTCATTTCTACCATCTGCTACATCCTGTTGTCTGCTGAAACCTGGTCCATGCAATAAAGCTCTTCGTGGATGAAAAGTTATTTGGTGAGTTCAGCTATCTGATAAGGATTGTCCGCAGTGATTATATCTGCTTATACAGGCCAGGCATAGAGGACTCAGCAAGGGATAAATCCCAATACAACAATCGGCGTCAGAATATCTATTATTATTATTGTCACTAGAGCACTTTCAATACACGGTTGCTATCAGAAATATTGTCACAAAGATTTGTGTGAAGACCCCTATTCTGGGCTTCACCTGGTAATTTCAGACATTACACGGGAGTACAGACAGTGATGTATGTCCATTGGTGAACATTGCAGATATCTATTATTATTGTCATTGGGGCACTTTTACATATGTGGTGTGAGATTTAGCTTCAAATGGTAGCGCATTAAGGACGGAGTCCACTTGCAAACATGTTCTTTTTAGGGCTTCCTGTCCACTTTTATTTAAACATTCATAGGTTTTACCTCACAGGGGTTTCTCCAACATAACTTCAGCAAAAATAACAATTTTCCTGTGGACGTCACAAAGTTTGTATCCAACACTCTTGTTACACAGGCTCTTGTCCTCTTTGCACCACAGGCTAGTCTCTTCACCACACAGGTGATACACTCCTCCAGACACAGGCTGGTTCCAGGGTGGAGCCAGTGGCGTCACAAGAGGTGCGGTCCGCACCTGGGTGACACCATTGAAGGGGTGACACCAAAATGACTCAGTCATTTTGGTGTCACCCCCCTCTGAAAAGTCATGCGCTCGGTCATGGACCGAACGCCCGACAGTATCAGGAGAGAGGAGGGGGACCCGGCGGCATACCTTATCCTGGCGGGTGACTTCCCCTCCTCTCTCTGCCGGCGTCCATCACACAGATGGCCGCCGGCAAGTATCAGAATGCGCAGTGACGTCTCGGCGGGGTGACACTCGGTTACTGCTCCGGGTGTCACCCAGCCTCGGGACGCCCCTGGGTGGAGCCCTCCTGACTCCTGCATGGAGACCTCATCTGTCTCCCAGGTAGAACCCTGAACCGGAACCAGCATCCTCCTCAAATGGGCCGTGCACAGGTGCTGGTCACCACTAAAGCACGGACCGAGGAATGGAGATTTCTTCCCTCCCAGTTCTCTTAGAAATCTCCCAGTTCCAGGATCCCAGTAAATAATTTAGAAAACCCGGAAAGAAATGTAAAGCTGCTCTTTCCTGGTAAAAGTATTTCCGTCCTGGAACTGCTCAGCCCCTCTGGCAGAGATCCCTGGGTGACCATTTTGCCACTCTACATAGTGGCATTGCCACGCACTGCCACAGTGGCTACTAGTGGAGATTTCATCATAAAGATGTGTATGAAGATATTGGTTTTGGACTTTGCTGATAGGACGCATGATTGCAGTGATGTGTGCACATTATTGGACACTGAACAGCTCATTTTACTGATTTTATTGTTTGTGTAGGTAACTGTTATTGCTCTTATTATATTTATTATATATACAGATTGTTTAATTTCATAAGTAGATGCCAGTTGAAAGATAGCGTTGCATTTTTTGTGTATTTTGGATTAATATTATTATTAGCGCATAATTAGTATTGATTTATTATATATTAGTGATGTTGTTACACTATTAATCTTGTTGTTGGTGGCAACTTTCCAGCAGCGGGATCAGTAGATACCATTCCCTTGCTTGCATGGCACTGTTCCCTCTCGGTCTGAGCACCTAACTGGTAGGTGAGATTATGCAGCATTATAGCCAGTAAGGGAACAATGCTATAATAAATATGATTGTTCTCTGTAGAAACGGTCCAGGACGTGTCAGCTTCATACTAATTGTGTTGCTGTGGACCTGGTTCTGGCTGTGTATGGTACTGATTCTGATACTGGTCCTGGCACTTATTTCCTATGCTCATCAGCTCCATCTAGTGGCCATAATCCGATATTACATTACAGTGTGTTCTATTTCTATTTTACTGCACAGAAACCTCTCTAGCTCAAATTCACTTTGCAGAACCTTCTTTATTCCATATTCACTGTGCAGCAACCTCTTGTAACTTAAACTCCTTGGATCACATTCACAGCACGGCACCCTCTTTTTTTTAATCAAGATATTCTTTATTTAAGAAGAACAGAGTTTTTCATGATTTCTGAGTTCCATAAAATAAACACACATGGAAGCAACAGTTATAGAGTAAAACATTCCGGCTTAGGCTCCGTTCACATTGAGCGATTTATCGCGCGGTAATTCCCGCGATAGCGCGGCTATTTACCGCGCGATATGGCTCTCCAATGCTTGGCAATGGGGCAAAGGGTCCTGCTGTCGCGGGTCATGTGTCGCTACAGCAGGACTCTTTTTGGAGCGGATTTTGCCGCGATTCAATGCCTTTCAAAGCAGGCATTTGCGCGATTTGCGAATCGCGGAGTGTGAATGGGGCCTTATGGTACAAAAAAGAGAAAAGGTAGTCTATAATCCATAGGGCTCCAACTGATGATTATTTTCATGAATCGATTATTTTATCAATCAGATTTAAAAAAAAAAAAAATCCATCCTTAATTTAAAATATAATATACAAATGCCGTGTTACAAACAAGGTTTACTTCAGAATAAAACTGCATGCACAATTTTTTGCAATCGCACGGCCCTGGAATGCTCGGCATTGCGGTACCGTGTATTCCAGTGCGGCCGATCACACTGTGGGTGGGAAGCGTGTTTGGGGTGCCATTGAAATGAAGGGCACTGCAACGCACCTTCCGCAGCAGAATTTGTCAGGCTGAAACGGAAAATTACTTTTTCCCACATTTTTATAATTTAAAAAAAAAAATAAAGGTACAGACACGGAGATCCTCAGTGATGTGTATGATCTAGATCAGTAGTTCTCAACCTGTGTAACCTGAGGACCTACATTCGCCCTTGGTCATTAATTCATGACCCAAATCGAAGCGCACTCGAATGCACGGCATTGCGGTACCGTCCTTTCTGCTGTGGGTGGGAACTGTGGGTGGGAGGTGCTTTTGGGGTGCCATTCAACTGAATGGCAATGCAACACCTCCTACAACAGAATTTGCGGTAGGTGCGATTTTACGCGGTACAGTGTGTTAATCGCACTGTACTAGTTTGAAGGAGCCCTCAAAAACACTGACAATCCCACACACTCCCCCCAAATTTTTTTTATTGAGATGCACCCTCTCTCCCCATCTTAGGAGAACTGGAGTGGAAGCTCAGCCTGGGGTCAAGTGTGGGCTGCTGTGCTGTGGCGGAGTTCCATCCATATGTGCATTGCTGGTACAGCTCCCTTGCACACCCTGTAGGACCTCTACAGGAAACGTGAGGGAGCTGTAAGCAATGCACATATGGATGGAGGTCCCTCGTGGCCATAACCCCATCCCATCTCAAGCTGACACTCAGCACCGGGCAGCATGTTTTCAATGGCTGCTTGGCGTGAGAACTGACAGTGCTGCGCTAGGGGGAGGCTGAGGAGCCTTTCACCCAGAAAAGTGGAAGGTATGCGGTGACCCACTGAACACGGGGTCGCGACCCACTTTTGGGTCACGATCCACCAGTTGAGAACCAAGGCTCTAGATCTTTAGTCTGCAGCAGCCGTCATAACATGCATAGCACATAACAACACATGCTAAAGATTCAGGATTGTATGCAAATAAAAAAAAATAGGAAATATTGAATGATAAATGTATTGTTTAAAATTAAAAACGTAAACTAATATTTCCAAAAAAAATAGCTTTCCAGAACGCAAACAGCTTTGTCAGGACGGGATCCCATAGCAGTGTCAGCAGGTGACAAAGAGCATTCAGCAATGGTTCCTTTACGGGAAGGAATCTGCTTAATGTTGATAATGGCCAATCAGGAACTGCAACAGCAGAGACCATACCCTGTTACTGCAGAGTAAGTGAAAGTAAGATCCTTTCCCTGTAGGGAGGTCACACTCTGCTCCTCACCGCTGCATTGTAATAGTGGTGTGGCAGCTGCTGGCACAGAGATGGAAACAATGTGGAAGCGGTTTGTTGGGTTAACTCGTTTCTAAATCTTATTCACGCTATGATGCAGCACAATATCCTGGCCGAATTCACAGCTGTAGGGGAGGCTCAATTTATAGGTTCTGTATCAACCTTCAGCCCCGGCTGGAGGTCTTTTTTTAGTTCTCTTCTTGCTTCATCTGACATGGGGTTGTCACTGATCCTGGAAGAGATAATGAATACAGTCAGAACACTCACATTTTTCAACATCTTGCTAAAAGGCTGCTACATCAACCTGTCACCTTCTTGTAGGACTTTAATAACTAAGAGGTTACCCTGCACTGCACTGAATGCTGATGAGTAATAGACTGTAAAACAGGGAAAATCCATCCATATTGTCCTGTAACATCTCTTCTCTGATGTCCCACAGCCACCAATCACATTCAGACTTCACTTTTCCAGCTGTCATTCTCCAGGACAGGAATGACAATTCTATTGGATGGGGCCAAATATGTTTTATGGAAATTGGAAATATATGATGCAGTTTCAAAGAGCACCTGTCACCATCTGAACTGTGAGGAGGGATCTGAGCTTGTTTTGCAGCAGCCGAGGTGCATATATCCTGGCTACACAGTCCAGCACAGCAGGCAGCATATTATTATTGATCTGAATTTCTACACAAGAGAAGGGTTGAAAAACCTACATCAGAAGCCAGCATTTTCATTAAACACTACCACCACCGGGGGAAATTTTCAGGAAAAAGGAGGATGAAGTCTCATGAAGCTCAGCTGTCTATGCATGACAAACCACCAATTGTTCCTCACATTTGAGCTCTCACAACCACTATCTCACCTAGCCCCCTTTTCTCTATGACAGACATGTGGAACAGAGGTAATGGGGGTAACGAGGGAAGAGTAAAGTTCCTGACTATTGCTGTAAAAGGTGAGATAGGTGACAAGGTGGTGGTCTCCTGGGGGAGCTGAGGTGGGTGGCAAGTGACGGGGAGGTGCTGTGACCTAGAAAGTGAAGTCGGTGGTAGGAAAGCACTATGACTGAGAGGGAGGCTCTGTAACTGAGATGGGGCATGAGATGGTTCTCGGATGTGCTGTGACCAAGGAGTAAGGTGGGTAGCAGGGAGGCACTTTCACTGGAGGGGTGATGGATGTTAAAAGAAGGGAGATGCTGTGACTGGGGGGTCTGAAGTGGGTGGCAGAGAGGCATGAGGTGGAGGGTGGGATTGTGACCCGGAGGGGTGAGGTGGGTGGTGATAAAGCACCGTGACAGGTTCGTTAAGGTTGGTGGCAGAGAGACACTGAGAATGGGGGCCGAGGGAGGTGGGGGGTATGGAGCTGTGACCTGGGGAGTGAAGTGGAAACACTGGAACTAGGGGTTGGGTTTTTGGTGGGTGGTAGGGATGAGCTATGACTAGAGGGTGAGGTGGTTGGCATCAAGGTGAGGAGACTTGTGGGCTTAAGTGGGTGATTCTAGGATGCTGTGACTAGGGGGAGTGTGGTGGAGGGCAGAGAGGAGCACTACTATGTCTCCCTGTATGCAGAGCATTGTTTTGTGTGGGTGATACACCATGCTTTATGGATTTTCCCCAATGACAAATGTATGTTGAAAGCTGCACTGATCTAAGAGTTCAATAAACCACCCTAATATTCGAGCGATCACAAGAGATTTCTGGTGCAATGTGTGGTACAGTCCTTCACAAATCCCCAGTGAACAGTAGAAATAACATAGAATAGTCTAATCTAGGTAGTGACCTTCCTAAACAAACTTATTTTAGCTATTCTGTATAATTCATATATTGCGTGTTTGATTTTTATCATAAGATCCCGGGTGAGGCATCTGTGCTTATGCAATTACACAAGTCCATATGTGTCATGCTCCCCCTCTGACCCATCGACTCCAATAATGGTCCATATTCATCTGTCACTCTAATATACTGCAGACTGTTACTAAAACAGTTAAATCATTCTCAGTAGACTTAATTTTATTAGTAGGACACAGTTCTTTAAAAAGCCTGCCATACATGGATGGAGACACTGATATCTTCATGAACAGAATTATCCTATAATGTCTGTAAAAGTCTCCCAATTTATTATTGTCTCAGTCAGTCCTGTTATACTCACTGTAATTCCTCCATCCGGCTTGTTGTCAGAGCTTCCATCAGATCCCTGAAATGAGAACCCTCCAGATTGTTCTTAGACAGGTTCAGTGTCCTCAGTGTCTGGTTATCTCTTATTCCAGATGCCAGGTCGGGGCAGGAAATGTCTGTCAGATTATTACTCATCAATCTGTAGAAGAAGAGAAGAATGTTACCAGAAGACAATGAATATCTCCCCCAGGAATGAATGTAACTATTCTCTACATGAATGGAACTCATTTCTCTTTATTGGAATCATTTATGTTCCATCACGTTATAAAACTCCAGGAAATATAATTTTATAAGAGAAATGTTATAATGGAGTAGACACCCCAATATTGTCCTTCATGTGTAGAGACGATGATATCTCCATACACAGGATGAGCACAGAATACCACTGACATGACTCGTATTGTGCTATAATCTCCTTGTGTATGGAGCATGAATGGTATCAGCAGACAGTGTGAGGAATCAGCATTGCTAGTGATTGGACGGGATGATTTTTATCTGATATTCTATTTATCTCTGCTGATAAGAGCTCTGTACTCATAGGAAGTAATGGGGAGATCCCCCCACACTGACTGATGATGATGGTCATATCACATGCTGGGAAACTTAAGGTGTCCATACACCTTACGATTATCGGCCGATTTTCGTATGCGATCACGTTTTCATCCGATATTCGTAAGGTTGATGGGCAGTGTACAACTGCAAATACTGTACAATCATATGACTATTGACTTTCCAGCAGGTTAGAAAACTTTGGTAGATCGTACGATTTTCGCAAGGTTGGTGGCATTTCCTTACTTCAAAATTTGTACGATTAACACTGCTCATGCACAAACAAAAATACGTGCGGTCGATTAACGCAATTCTTCCAGGGGTTTTTTTAACTATTGCTAATTGAACCTTGCGAAGATCGGGGCAGGATGGGGCTGCCAGACGAAAATTGTACAACTGTTCGATCATCGGACAAAAAGTTTCGTCTGATGATCGCAAGGTATATGGGCAGCTTTTCATTAGGGTCTGATTGCTCATTGCAGTAAGGTCAGGTTCACCCGTATATGACTTTCTATTATTTCATCTACCTTACTAGTTACCAGAGTATAATGGAATATCAGATTTAACAAGGTTGTAGAAAAAGATTATTTTATGGCGGATACCAGAGTGTGATAAGATCCAAGAGATAGAAAGCAGTCTGAAATTGACTATATATAGAGAAAAAATGAGAATAAATAGGATTACACTCTTTGTATGTGGTTTATTTATAAAACTGTCCCAGAATATTATTGTCTCAGTTCTGTTACACTCACTGTAATTCCTCTATCCGGCTTGTTGTCAGAGCTTCCATCACATCCCGGAAATGAGGACCCTCCAGATTGTTCCCAGACAGGTCCAGTGTCCTCAGTGTCTGGTTATTTCTTATTCCAGATGCCAGGTCGGGGCAGAAAATGTCTGTCAGATGATTATCACCCAAACTGTAGAAGAAGAGAAGAATGTTACCAGAAGACAATGAATGTCTCCCCCAGGAATGAATGAATGCAACTAATTTCTCTTTATTGGAATCATTTATGTTCCATCACTTTATAAAATTCCAGGAAATATAATTTTATAAGAGAAATGTTATAATGGAGTAGACACCCCAATATTGTCCTTCATGTGTAGAGACGATGATATCTCCATACACAGGATGAGCACAGAATACCACTGACATGACTCGTATTGTGCTATAATCTCCTTGTGTATGGAGCATGAATGGTATCAGCAGACAGTGTGAGGAATCAGCATTGCTAGTGATTGGACGGGATGATTTTTATCTGATATTCTATTTATCTCTGCTGATAAGAGCTCTGTACTCATAGGAAGTAATGGGGAGATCCCCCCACACTGACTGATGATGATGGTCATATCACATGCTGGGAAACTTAAGGTGTCCATACACCTTACGATTATCGGCCGATTTTCGTATGCGATCACGTTTTCATCCGATATTCGTAAGGTTGATGGGCAGTGTACAACTGCAAATACTGTACAATCATATGACTATTGACTTTCCAGCAGGTTAGAAAACTTTGGTAGATCGTACGATTTTCGCAAGGTTGGTGGCATTTCCTTACTTCAAAATTTGTACGATTAACACTGCTCATGCACAAACAAAAATACGTGCGGTCGATTAACGCAATTCTTCCAGGGGTTTTTTTAACTATTGCTAATTGAACCTTGCGAAGATCGGGGCAGGATGGGGCTGCCAGACGAAAATTGTACAACTGTTCGATCATCGGACAAAAAGTTTTGTCTGATGATCGCAAGGTATATGGGCAGCTTTTCATTAGGGTCTGATTGCTCATTGCAGTAAGGTCAGGTTCACCCGTATATGACTTTCTATTATTTCATCTACCTTACTAGTTACCAGAGTATAATGGAATATCAGATTTAACAAGGTTGTAGAAAAAGATTATTTTATGGCGGATACCAGAGTGTGATAAGATCCAAGAGATAGAAAGCAGTCTGAAATTGACTATATATAGAGAAAAAATGAGAATAAATAGGATTACACTCTTTGTATGTGGTTTATTTATAAAACTGTCCCAGAATATTATTGTCTCAGTTCTGTTACACTCACTGTAATTCCTCTATCCGGCTTGTTGTCAGAGCTTCCATCACATCCCGGAAATGAGGACCCTCCAGATTGTTCCCAGACAGGTCCAGTGTCCTCAGTGTCTGGTTATTTCTTATTCCAGATGCCAGGTCGGGGCAGAAAATGTCTGTCAGATGATTATCACCCAAACTGTAGAAGAAGAGAAGAATGTTACCAGAAGACAATGAATGTCTCCCCCAGGAATGAATGAATGCAACTAATTTCTCTTTATTGGAATCATTTATGTTCCATCACTTTATAAAATTCCAGGAAATATAATTTTATAAGAGAAATGTTATAATGGAGTAGACACCCCAATATTGTCCTCCATGTGCAGAGACGATGATATCTCCATACACAGGATGAGCACAGAATACCACTGACATGACTCGTATTGTGCTATAATCTCCTTGTGTATGGAGCATGAATGGTGTCAGCAGACAGTGTGAGGAATCAGCATTGCTAGTGATTGGACGGGATGATTTTTATCTGATATTCTATTTATCTCTGCTGATAAGAGCTTTGTACTCATAGGAAGTAATGGGGAGATCCCCGACACTGACTGATGATGATGATGGTCATATCACGTGCTGTGAAACTTAAGGTGTCCATACACCTTACGATTATCGGCCGATTTTCGTATGCGATCGCGTTTTCATCCGATATTCGTAAGGTTGATGGGCAGTGTACAACTGCAAATACTGTACAATCGTACGACTATTGACTTTCCAGCAGGTTAGAAAACTTTGGTCGATCGTACGATTTTAGCAAGGTTGGTGGCGTTTACTTACTTCAAAATTCGTACGATTAACACTGCTCATGCACAAACGAAAATACGTGCGGTCGATTAACGCAATTCTTCCAGGGTTTTTTTAAACTATTGCTAATTGAACCTTGCGAAGATCGGGGCAGGATGGGGCTGCCAGACGAAAATTGTACAACTGTTCGATCATCGGACAAAAAGTTTCGTCTGATGATCGCAAGGTATATGGGCAGCTTTTCATTAGGGTCTGATTGCTCATTGCAGTAAGGTCAGGTTCACCCGTGTATGACTTTCTATTATTTCATCTACCTTACTAGTTACCAGAATGTAATGGAATATCAGATTTAACAAGATTGTAGAAAAATAATATTTTATGGCTGATACCAGAGTGTGATTAGATCCAAGAGATAGAAAGCAGTCTGAAATTGACTATATATAGAGAAAAAAGGAGATTAAATAGGATTACACTCTTTGTATGTGGTTTAGATATAAAACTGTCCCAGAATATTATTGTCTCAGTCAGTCCAGTTATACTCACTGTAATTTCTCTATCCCGCTTGTTGTCAGAGCTTCCATCACATCCCTGAAATGAGGACCCTCCAGATTGTTCCCAGACAGGTTCATTGTCCTCAGTGTCTGGTTATTTCTTATTACAGATGCCAGGTCGGGGCAGGAACTGTCTGTCAGGTGATTATATCCAAAACTGTAGAAGAAGAGAAGAAAGTTACCAGAAGACAATGAATGTCTCCCCCAGGAATGAATGTAACTATTCTCTACATGAATGGAACTCATTTCTCTTTATTGGGATCATTTATGTTCCATCACTTTATAAAAATCCAGTAATATAATTTTATAAGAGAAATGTTATAATGGAGTAGACCCCCCAATATTGTCCTCCATGTGTAGAGACGATGATATCTCCATACACAGGATGAGCACAGAATACCACTGACATGACTCATATTGTGCTATAATCTCCTTGTGTATGGAGCATGAATGGTATCAGCAGACAGTGTGAGGAAGCAGCATTGCTAGTGATTGGACGGGATGATTTGTATCTGATATTCTATTTATCTCTGCTGATAAGAGCTCTGTACTCATAGGAAGTAATGGGGAGATCCCCCCACACTGACTGATGATGATGGTCATATCACATGCTGGGAAACTTAAGGTGTCCATACACCTTACGATTATCGGCCGATTTTCGTATGCAATCGCGTTTTCGTCCGATATTCGTAAGGTTGATGGGCAGTGTACAACTGCAAATACTGTACAATCGTATGACTATTGACTTTCCAGAAGGTTAGAAAACTTTGGTTGATCGTACGATTTTCGCAAGGTTGGTGGCGTTTCCTTACGTCAAAATTTGTATGATTAACACTGCTCATGCACAAACAAAAATACGTGCGGTCGATTAACGCAATTCTTCCAGGTGTTTTTTTTAACTATTGCTAATTGAACCTTGCGATGGTCGGGGCAGGATGGGGCCGCCGGACGAAAATCGTACAATGGTTCGATCATCAGACAAAAAGTTTTGTCTGATGATCGCAAGGTATATGGGCAGCTTTTCATTAGGGTCTGATTGCTCATTGCAGTAAGGTCAGGTTCACCTGTGTATGACTTTCTATTTTTCATCTACCTTACTGGTTACCAGAGTATAATGGAATATCAGATTTAACAAGATTGTAGTAAAAGATTATTTTATGGCTGATACCAGAGTGTGATAAGATCCAAGAGATAGAAAAAAGTCTGAAATTGACTATATATAGAGAAAAAAGGAGAATAAATAGGATTACACTCTTTGTATTTGGTTTAGATATAAAACTGTCCCAGAATATTATTGTCTCAGTCAGTCCTGTTATACTCACTGTAATTCCTCTATCCGGCTTGTTGTCAGAGCTTCCATCAGATCCCTGAAATGAGGACCCTCCAGTTTGTTCCTAGACAGGTCCAGTGTCCTCAGTGTCTGGTTATTTCTTATTCCAGATGCCAGGTCGGGGCAGGAAATGTCTGTCAGATGATTTTTATCCAAACTGCAGAAGAAGAGAAGAATGTTACCAGAAGACAATGAATGTCTCCCCCAGGAATGAATGGAACTATTCTCTACATGAATGGAACTCATTTCTCTTTATTGGAATCATTTATGTTCCATCACTTTATAAAACTCCAGTAATATAATTTTATAAGAGAAATGTTATAATGGAGTAGACCCCCCAATATTATACTCCATGTGTAGAGACGATGATATCTCCATACACAGGATGAGCACAGAATACCACTGACATGACTCGTATTGTGCTATAATCTCCTTGTGTATGGAGCATGAATGGTATCAGCAGACAGTGTGAGGAATCAGCATTGCTAGTGATTGGACTGGATGATTTTTATATGATATTCTATTTTTCTCTGCTAAGAGCTCTGTAGTAACAGGAAGTAGTGATGACTGAACTGAATAAAGTTCTGTTTGCTGGAGATCTGCTTAACAATTGAAAAAATCTGCAAACCCTGAACATGGCGCCTGAACACAATTGAAGTCTATGAAAGGAGAATCTTGTTAATTTTTCTGGCCTTTCTTTTCAAGGCCAATTTGCAAGATTTTGTTAAAAGGCATATGTAGCTGGACACTGACCTGGGGGACAT